ATAAGTTCTAACTTAGCCTTAGATAAGTTAGTTTTGGGTTTTGGTTGATCCTGGGAAAAACCATTGTCAAAGGTTGTGGCTAAGCTTGTGAAAAGCCATTGTAAAAGCTTGGTGGAAGCTTAGGAATTCCACTAATTTTAATGAATTGGTTTGAAAATCCTTGATTAGGAGATCAAGGTAGTAAATTTCAGTCAAAAAGATTAAACCATTATAAATCATTATGCTTTATCTACTTTCTCGTATTTTCCTTTTATTCTTAACTCTTAAATCATTCTTCCAACAAGTTTCAAACTTTCCTCGCCAACTTCTTTTAACAAGCTTTTAACTAGGAATTAATTTTAGTGACATTCTGAAAGTGTTATTCACTTCCCCTCTAGCACTCTTTTTGGGACCAACTAGAAGGCCCACACAAACTCAGTGGAGTGACACATTGGGAAGGAGACCTACTGGATGCCAATTACGTGTCCGTCCAATTAACAACGCTTGCCACATAACCCCATAACTTCTCTTATCTGCACATGGTGCAATAGAAGAGTGAGTCATCTAATACTTAGTGAGGGGATGCTATCACAGCATAATATTTCATATATATTATATCTAGGCATATCTAGCCATAATATACTCATATTCAAACATCTCTAACTCAAAGGTGCAAGGATCATTCTAATATCCTACATGCACAATTCATCATAGTCAAACTCATGGAATCACATATCAACAGCATATCATAACCACAAATTTCAAAGTTTTATGTCCTCACAACAAATCATATCAATTCAAAGCTTAACCTTAAAGCTACTATCATCAAACTAGGCTTCATAAGCACACCTTAGTTGCTGACCAAAACCTCACTTATCATTCACAGTCAATTACCACAATTTCATATTCAAATCAAAAATATGCCACATCTAATGCATGTCATCATAGTCAAACAAAATCAAATGAGTGATCCTACCCTGGACACAATCAGATCATGCACGTTGGTTAACTAATGGAGAAACAAATCACGCTCAAGGCAAAACCACTAGAGGAGAATCAGATCATGCACGTGCCAAAGCAACAAGCGAAGAACAGATCACGCACAACGTCAAAGCAGCTGGCAAAAAAATCAGATTATCGATCGAAGTAAACTCTCGATGTCGGCATCACTCGGATTAATCTCAATAGATGGCATCAAAGCACTGCAAGTAGGAATCACATGAGAGATTTGTACCACCGTCTTTACTTACCACCATCCTTATAGGCACACAAAGTCACATGGTGTGGGACTTCACTCCAGCTCAAATCATATCAACGTCCGGAATTCATCCTTCGGATGGAACATATATCCACAAATCAAGTCATCTTACTTGTGACATTCCATATGTCCACATCGAATCTCATTAAAATTCATCGAGCTTCAATCATCTCTAAGCTTGGTATAATTCTAAGTGCCTTCAAATCTCTAAGGTATCATTAAACAAAACATAATCAATCTCCATGCCCTTATACCCATACCACACATGGGTATTCGTCATCTTCAATCAAATCAATTGTGGCTTAATAGACTTATACTTATCCTCAGTCAACCACAATTAGGTGGGCATTCACACATAAATCATGTCCATAAGCAATCATGGCTCTTCGACTTCACATACTTAACATCACTTCTATCGTTGTACCATTAACCCAAATACATATTATGCCCATATTCCTAATTAGTCAATCTATTCATCATAATTTGGCACAATCCTTAATTCATAATTCATATCACACCATGGGTAGGCATCTTGCTCTAAGTCCTACATACTTTGGGTTCCAACACAAGGCCATGTTGTGGCTCACCACAAATCACACAAACACAAATTTACTTTTCCAAATAACTAGTTGGCCTAGGTATTCTTATCTAAGCACACTATCATACTTGTTCTCTAGCCTAGACACATACCTCTAGGCAAACATACATATACATATATATAGATATATACATACATACTAATTCTCTAGTTTAGGCATTCTCATCTAGGCATTCCTTATGCACACATATATAGTTTTCTAACATAGGTTCATCCATCTAGGCATGCATCTTTTATCCTAGTAATATGGCAATGCATACATTATGCAACATGCATCACTTGCATTTACTTAAATCCCACTCACCTTGACAATTGGAGCCATACCGCAATCAAGCTCGACCTTTATCCTCCAACCATCCTCCAGCTCACAAACGCATCAATTGCCTCCATTCTCGCCTTAGACAAATCAAAACAATACAAAATTATTTATTTACTAGCTTTCAAAAATATCACAACTTTTAAAAAATACCCAAATTCAATATATAAGCTCAATCTTCCAACAAATGAGCTAAACCCTTACTTAAAAGCTAGGTTGCTCAAATTTAGGCTCTAAATCTCCAATACACTCAAGGGGAGAGAGTTTGGCCAAATATGAAAATATCTAGATCCGAGGTTACTGACTGATTAAATTGAAAATCAATCAGTAAAAATGAGTAATCTTACCTCCGGATCGTTTCCTAAGTTTGGATCTAGCTCAAATGGGCTCCAAATGGCATTTAAGGGCTTAGGGTTCAAAAAAGGTCAAAAGAGAATGAAAGAAAGAGCTGAAGAGATATGAGGCAGAATGCCCATTGACCTTTTTTATTTTTGCCTTTCCTTTTTGATGTATCGATACATTTGGCAATGTATCAATACATCTGCCCTAATTTTGACTACATATATCGATACATTTGGGCAATGTATAGCTACATTTCGGACAGAATGCTCTTGAATGCCCTCTGCTTCAAATATATCTATACATTGAGACAATGTATCGATATATGTTCATCTTTCTAAGAATGTATCAATACATTTGCTAATGTATCGATACATCTTACCTAGATTGCACCTTTCCAACACCCAAACTTCCAAAAATTCAAACTTAACACCCCAAAATCGCTTCCCCTTTAAGTCATACTTCAAAATGGCTATCTCAACTTATAATCCTCAGTCATCTACACAAACACACAATCAAATCTCAATCTAAAATTCAAAATTCAAGATTTATCACCCATTCCTCAAAATTTTGGCTAAGCCTCAAGGTATTGTGTTCTAAGTGCCACAATCATCATTCTTACCTCAATTCATCGAGAATGATCAATGTACTCTAAAATTCAAAGTCTCTCTCTATAGACCATAATAGCTCATATGCATGCTTCACAAGCATACAAGTCGAGTTTTCAAGTTTACACATCAAATCAATTGGCCAATACCACATTTAGGCCATATAAAAAATTAAGGATGTTACATCCTGTGCTTAAGCTGGAGGGCTATCAGCAATTAGTTAGTAACATTGGGTTTTTAATGACTTTGGTGGGCAATATTAGTAACTTGTTGGAGGTGATTGCATCAAGGTTACCACCTTTAAATGCCTCCAAGTCTTCCTCATCATAATAGTCGGGTCCTCCGCCTTAACCATAGCAGCAGCAACAACAATATCTGTCACCCCTTCAGTGAGCTTTGTATTAGATATTTCTTTGTATTTTTGTACTTTTCACAGATGTTTACATTGAAATTTTTTTTTTATTGTCTATGGTTTGTATTACATTTTTATGCATATATGTTTACTATTTGTTTACTTTATCAATAGCAACATCATACAATAATTATATTACCAACAGGACAAAATTGAATTTCAAAAAAAAATTATGATTTTGTAGTTATTATTGACATTTCATCCATTACCGATGGAGTTCATAAAAAATACCAACTAAATACCAACAGATTCTAAGGCATTGCTGACAGATTTGACTTTTGAGCTTCAAAACCTACTCCATCAGTAATTTAGAAATGAAATTACTGACAAATTTATGCAGTCGACAGTTATTAACGGATAATAATCCATTGGCAATACTACTGATAGAATTTTATGATGAATTTTTCCCATTATCAATGAATATATTAACTGATAAATTCGAGCTTTTGCCGACAGAAATACTGAAGGAATATTCAGTCAGTAACCTTACCGACGAAAAATTTGTTACTGATGGATTTGCCATTACCGACAATAATAACATCAACCGAATACTGATAAAATTTTTTATCGATAATGTAACAAATCAAGAGAATCAAAAGTATTGCCGAAAGAATTTTTCATCGATAATACCTTATTTTTTGTAGTGGGTTGTGCCGTTGGGTTCTCTTTTTCTGCCTTGCGCTCTCTTTTTTTTTATCTTTTTGATTGCTGCTCAATTATGCTGTTGATTTATTGGTTCTTAATTGTGGTTCGAGTTTTACGTCGTAAATCCTTATGTATAGATGTTGGCGGGGGTTCTTATCTGGTTGTTGAACCAAATTTTGGTTTGCTATCTTTCTTGTCAAAGCATTCCAAAATTAGCTGATTTTTTGTTTTCCTCCCGGTAATGTTTTATTTTCTGTTAATTAATGAATGCCATTATTTTTAAAAATATATATTTTCAATTAACTAATTAAAAATTATGAAAAAGACAAATAACACCTTGTAATTAGAGAAAATCTTCTCCTCCTAATGCATATTCTTTATTCATTCCAAATTTCCATTATTTACAAGGAAAAGAGAAGGAAAAATATGTGTCATTCTCCTTATATAAAGCGACTCGAACAAAACCATTCTTCACCTGTGTGGGGCTCGCCACCTTCATCAATTGATAGATAAATAAATGTATGTGTGTGTGTGTGTGTGTGTTTACCAACGGAGCTTAATTTTCTAGGAAGTTCTAGTATCGGTATACACAAACGTTGCCTGGGATGGCACTGCAGAATCACGGACAATACACCAAAGAAAGCAAATTGTTACCAGCAGGAAACTGAAATAACACAGCCTTTTGCATTGACTGGAACCAAATAAAAAGTAAAAGAAAATTCCTTTACCAGAAAACTAAAACGACGTCACAACAATATTAGTATATGACACAAATTAACCACTGTAGTAGGAAAGGAAAGAATTGGGTTAGCTTCTTTGATCTTACAAGCAAAAGAGATGGACCTTAATGGAAATTAGATGATGTGTGTTTTGGAGTTTAAGGCAAACGCTTGCTCTTAATTTGGACATTTTTCCTAACCGTTGAGGCTGATCTTACGGATAAGAGAGATAAGCTTAGACATTGTCAAGGGCTTCTCTTGGTAGTCATCCAGACCAGCTTCAATGAATTCTTGTATATCTTCTTCCATTGAGCGTGACGATACGCCTGCAATCATGCTACGATTGCCCATTTCACGAAGTTTCCTCGTTGCCTGTCAATATTCCAAATCAAGCAGAAGAGCTTCGAATCAGATCGGTGATGTCAGTTCAATATTCTTGTAGTAAGAAGCAAAAAATTAACTAATTGATTTCAGGCGAAAGCCAAACATTTTCTTACCTCAATGCCATTCATGATAGGCATCTCCATGTCCATTAGAATCAGGTCAAACTTTTTTCCAGAACAATGGGCATCCACAGCTTCTTTCCCACTACCGACGACTTCGTTTTCTATGCCAAGATTGCTCAAAAGCCTGCGGTGAATCGTTCGGTTGATCCTATTATCGTCCACAACAAGTGCAGTGATCTTGGTGGATTGCTCTTTTTCCACAGCATGTCTGCTCTGCGCCATGTTAATTCTTCTTGTTTTCTGCTTCAGGCTTCGGGAGCTGAGTGATTTCCAATAAACCGATCAGCAAATTGTTAGTGAGTTGTGAGTTTCATTTCACTTTAATTTAATCAATGCAGACTACATATTCTGTTTTGTTTGAGGCAGACCAGAGATATTTTTGGTGCACAAGGAAGTGACAAAAGGATGTAATGACACTAGCTAAAGCATTTACATTGGTCAGACAATTAGTAAATATTTAGTGTAACTGATTAGACAGGGAATGACCTGGTTGAGATTAAACTTTGACCATATTTAATAAATCAAAGAATAATAGCATACATCTCAAAACAAAAATCCTCAATAATACCAATCCTCTTGATTTTAGAAGAGAGTTGTTCGCTTGAGAATTTGATTTCGCTACTGCTGAAAGTTGAAAAAGCTTTTCCATGGAGAACATTCCAAGAAGATGAGTCCATTTGGATATGTTTGCATCTCAAGCACTAGAAGAAGACCTCCTCTTTGACCAGTTACTATACGTATGGCCTATACACAGAGAAACAAGTTTATGCAGTAAACCTAATAAAGTAAAACAAGCCTTAGCAAAGTACCTCAAGCAGGCTGAAGGTCATACTAACCAGAAAGAAGAAGACAGGATTGGGACTGTGGTGGGAGAAGCAATAATGCTAGCAAATAGCTGCGGAAGAGAATGATGATTGATGATGATTTCCTCCCATGATGGGTGAATTCTTGGGTTTTAAAGGGGCTTTCTACACCAAGATAGTGAGCAATGAGATGTGGAACAGTATCCATTGGAATGTGTTGAAAATATCACAAAATCATCTTCCATGATTGATGAAAGAAGCATCTTCAATAAAAATGAAAAACTGCTGTAAAATAATAACATTAACTTTAATTCTACGGTCCAACCTGCCAACTTGCCTAAACAACCTTTTTTTGTTGTCTGTTTTTTATTCTTCTTTATTTATATTAATTAGCTAAGTAAAATGTTATGAAACAAAAAAATTAAAATTGCAATTCAATTTGACATTTATGTCACGTAACATTAATATGGTTATAATCTAAGTGACGTGTTAATATAATCACATGATACTTTTTACTTTTCACACCGGCATAACATGACGTGTAAAACAACAAGCGATATTTCGACTAATGATAATTAATCAACCATTAATCATAAAAATTTATTTAACTAAAAATAAAAATACAAAAAAAAATTATTTCAATAATTTAAATTTTTTTCAAATATTATATCTATAATTAAATACTTAGTGTCCCTTAAGTTTTTCCCACTAGTCTACTACTTTGATAAAGAAATATGGCATTGCTTAGGTAAGGACATCAGATGCACAAATATATTGGACCTGTTACTACATTTGGCTCCAATCAAAGAAGCATAATTCTGTGAACCATCCAATGTTTCATTAGATTTCATCAAAATTTTTGGGATGATGTAGATTTTCAGGGTAATTACAAATTAGTGCGATGGAACGAAAATAATGATTGGTTGCCACCATGGTCAAAAATATTTATTAAGAAGGAAATGTCCAGTTCTAATATTGGTAAAGAAGAAATTGCATTTACTCTTTTGACCTTAATGAAATGGCAGCCATAAAACTGATTAATATTATACCCCCACAAAGGCCTACAAAATTCATACTAAAGCAAAATCCAATGACTTATATTTGATGGCATTTCATTCCTTAGAAAAAGGCATGGAAGTTATAAAATTACTTCCAGTCAGATAAAGATGAGCATTGCAAGGAATTGCTAATGAGGGCATTTTTCTGAGGAAAATGAAGCTAGCTTTGCTCAGCGGACTTTCTTATTCATGCCAATACCCAAGCGATAGCCGACCTTTGATATTAAAACACTAGACAATGGAAAACATTTGGAAAGCAAGCGGCCCAAAGCAAGCGGTTAAAGCCAGGATTTTATTGTGTAGATGAAGTCCTCTGATGCGCAGGATTCTGTGCTCCTCACTGGCTATCGAGTTCCCTCAGGATAGGTGCCAAAATGTCAGGAGTGAGAGGTTTCTCAATGAACTCATCAACTCCAGCAGCCAGAAATGCCTGCCTCTCTCCCTCATAAAAGTGAGCAGTGACACCCAGCATCTTGCACCGCACGCCCATGGCACGAATCTGCCTTGTGGTCTGCCATCAAATCATTAGTTGATAATTAATAATGACAGGCAGGATATATCAATGACATTTAACTACCGTCTCCAAACCAAGTAATAGTTGCTGCTACCTCAAGTCCATTCAGGACAGGAAGAAGCATGTCAATGACAATGAGGTTGAAGTTTGCCCCAGAGGCAATGAGCTCAACCGCAGCCATGCCATTGTCCACAGCCTGGGTTTCAAGTCCATAAGCCTGAAGAAGTCCCTGCTCGACCATCCGACAAAACCTGCTACCGTCAACCACAAGAGCAGTCAACCTGTTCCTCAGGATCACACGAGGAAATTCATTGCCCTTTTCTTCTTCAGCAGGTGCTCCTTCATTGGCCCTGCGTGGAGCTGCTGGATTACCCGAGGCCACGCCTGCTGGTGCCATTATTCCTGCAACTGGAATTAATTAAAGAGGGATTAGACAAAGTTTATAATAGAGTACAGGTTTATTCAGAAAAGATGAAAGATGTCACTCCTCGAATTTCAAGTACAATGTAAAAGTGTTTGACAAGAAATTGTACTGACTAGCGAGAAAAAATTAAATCTAGCCTGCCTTCCGGTGATGGCGCAAATGCTTATGAGTTGTGCGTGAGCACTAAACTCCCCTAGCCAGAAACATCTTTAGTTGGAAAAGAGAACACCGAATTACCTTAAACGACAACAAACGAAACAACTGCCCAAAACTAATAACTAACGTAGAGACACTACAATGCTAATGCGTTCAAGAGGCAATGTTGCAATATATAACGCTTACTGATTTGATGTCAAAGCGAGAGGCTAAATACAGACTGTGCAGGATTAAAATTTTGGATTCGCCTTCCATTCCCGGTGAGCAAATATGCAGATTGGGACAAAAAAGTTAGATGTAAAAGCAGTGATGGTTAAGGATACGCTGAAGAATGCATAATTTAATAATCAGATTTTCTCTTCTGTATGCAATTAATTAGATATGTTTGCATCTTTACATTTTTATTACACGTGACACTGTTTGGTAGTATTTTCAATTTAGACGTTACTTTTCTTAAAATTCTTTTAATACAACGGTCAGTCTTTTTTTTCATATCTGATCTTCTTTGTACAATTAATTAGATATACTATCATCTTTATATTTTTATTACACGTGATTATATTTGGTTCGCATTCAGTACTTACAATTCAACCGTTACTTTTCTTACCGTTCTTTTAATACAACCGTCACCTCCTTTACTTTATCTCTATTTCTTTTGATATAACTAACAATCACCCTCATCAATAATATAGACCCATCATTCATTGTGAATTTCATTAAAAATCTCAAATATGTTTTGAATTGAAACTATGAATCCATGACAAGTGATATCTTAACCTTATCCAAATTAATTTTCTCTAATTTCAATAATATAAAATCTCCATGAAAAATAATAAAACCGAAATAAATCCAAACCAAAGTAAATCTCTCTTTTATATGTGAAAAAACTCAGTGCACTGAAAATGTTACATAATTGAATAGGAAAAAAAATGCTACAGATCTCACACAATAAGAGATAGAAATAAATACCTGTTTCATCTACCAGATTGAAAATGTGAATCAGTCACAAAATTGAAGTGCAATGGAAGAGAACCAAACGCGGGCATTACCGTACCAGGGAACGAGCTGAGTTTTAGTTGGAATCCAGGATGTTACATGAAAACTGAAACGGTTGCAATCGTGACGTGCTGGACTCGAATAACAAATATAGCACGCTTTGTATGAGCCAGATTTTGTGGCTTCCAATCTCCACCCTGATGGATATGAAATGAACTAATAGAGTTGGTAGGTACAACAGCAAGAGAATTGATCATATCCTAAGGAAATTTCATAATTTTCAAAAGTCTAGCTTAAGGTGAGGCAAGAACAATATTTGGATGGAATACCAAGTACAGAAATTTCTCCAAAACCATATTTCTTTATCACTATAACAACAATGTTACGAAAATGGTGATTACAACATGGGCACAGTAGTGCAGCGTGCAATTCCCTACTTGATTCCCCACCAAAAGCACTCTTCCTCCAAAACCCAGCAAACCAAATTAAAGAGAACTAAAATACATTTAAAAAAGCAAAAACAAAAATCACCCTCGAATATGCATTCACACAATATACAAAATACACAACAATGAATAAGTAAACATTTCCCAATCCCAATCCCGACTCCCTGTCCAAATGTACCAGTTAATCATGGTTAGCATCTATGGGGGTGCCAGTCCTGGCCTGTGAGATCCGATTCGCATAAATTGTAACCAACCGCAACTGTGTGCTGTTAAGCCCCTCCAAGTGTGGCAAAAATGCTTTCCCAAGCATTATATAAATATCCACTAAACAGAAAACGACGGTCTGTACCATCAACAACAACACGCAATGAGACATCAGATATCAATGAGGTTTAAAGAGAGCAAAGAAAAAAGATAACACACTAAGATGTACTTCAAACATGTGGAAACGCAAGTTTATTTGCCTCTAGCAGAGACAAAGACAAGCATATTTCCAAGAGAAGCAGTCACGCTCTTATCAACTATTCTTCTCAACCATGTACCATGTCAACCGACTGAAATATAGATTTTGGAAACAGAACACAGTAATCTTTTTCTGATTCTTATATTCTACTGCAGTGCAGCACACTACTCTACTATAGGCTCTGGTTTAGGCCATAGGCATAATGTGCTGATCACACTCCAACAACACGGAAAAGGAGCCGATGGGACTCATGCCTCTAAGGCTAGGTGCAAGGGAGCTGGCACTCATTCAATAATATGCATGTTATAGGATGCAGCCAACTTGTGCTATAATTTCATTGAACAACATAATCTTTCTGTAGGTATAATGTCATATAGCATTATCCTGAAGTCAGCTAACAAAAAAACCAATATCATTGGCAAGATATGAAGGGTAGATTCTGTTACAGGCTTAGAGAATAAATCCCAGAAGCACGATTTCGATGTTGAAAATACCTCAGAGAAACCATTTTAAAATTTATGCAATTATTGGACCACAAATAGAAAAATTAAAGAAAACATCATTCTGATGCCAAGGACGAGAATCATTACTCAGCATAAAATAGAGTACCAGACTGGGTATAAAACTGAGCCAAGCCAAGCCAAACAATAGTCAGCCAGAGTGTTGCTCAATATATAGATCAAGTCAAGTTCATCTCTCAAAACTTAAATTCAGAATGAAAACAAGTTTTGAAGTCAGCTTTGACTTCACTCATAAAACACAAGCCAATTGAAACTCAAACAAAAACTTGGGAGGCCCAATTGTAAAATTAATGAAAGAAAAAAATAGTAATATTTATAATGATATAATTATTAGATGGGATTAGCTTGTGAGCTTCTGTGTTGTATGCTAAACTTATTGAATTAAAAGCTAAATGCTGAATTTAAATTCAATTCCTTTTTTTTTTTTTTTTTGCTAATTGAGCAAGCCCAACCAAGATTCTAAACAAGCCAAAGGCAAACAGCAAACGGTTTATGAATTGCTTGACTTGTTTAATTGTTTTCATCATCCCTACTCTGTGTCTCCAAAGACAAATCCCAACCATTAGAACTTGAACTTTCAAATTGGAAGTCTAAGATTCAAATTTCAGAAAGGGAAAGGTTTATGAGATGGGAGAGAGCTACTGCCTTTTGTATAGCTCAAGTCGCATATACATGAAAAAGAAAAAGAGAAAAGTATTGCTACTCCGTGCATAGAACCTAAGTGTGCCCCAAGTATTCCCAAATATCAACACATAAAGCATCCTAGATGTTTATAGTCAAGATGTGTCTTACAAGAAAATTTAAGTTTCGTTGCAATTTTTTATATCTCAGAGCAACCATATCACTTACAAAGGATCAAGCAGCTAGATAACATAAATGGGAATACAAAAGACAAGTAAATTATTTTCTTTCAGAAGATTAAAAAGTTCCTCCTTTCTCTCAACTGCCCCCTCCCTACCCGATCCACCCCCAATCCTCCACTTTTTCTCTCTCCTTTCTTCAGCCTATAAAATCCTAAATTTGAGGTATTACTGTATAATGATAAATTTCTAAGCAAGAAAGACAAACATGCAAAAACATAATTATTACCTTCCGGACGTCTGCACTCTGGTTTCCAAAGGCTTCAAAAAGAGCAGGCAAAAATGAGGGCAATTGAGTCATTAGCTCCTCCTGTGATAGCCGCCCCACAAGCTGAACAGAAAAGCACAGAGCTTAGATACGGTCAACACTTGATGATAGGAGGCACAATTTATTTGTAGGAACAGTACAACTGACAAAGGAAAGCATACAAAAGCCCAATCCAAATAGACAGGAGAGCAATGACAATTCCAAGAATACAATCAAGTTTACACAAGCATGTAACATATCTGAAAAATGCTGAATATTGATCCACTTGGTCTAATAAACAGGAAAACAATGATCATAATAATACAATTAACTTTTCACAAGATAAACCTCCTTTAATCTTAATCAATAGATGTCTCCCTTTACATTCACACCCTAGTTCAAGCAACACAGCTTAAGATAAAACCATGGCACCTTTGGCTTACTCTCTTTTCCTATGGCACACTTGTCTTGAGACACCCGTAACTCTTACCAATGTTTCGCAGATTAATTTAGACCCACTGTTCCTGCCCTCAATGTGCACTAGAATGAACAGTTTAGAGCAAGTATAATATGTGGTACACCATTCTTATGCACAGAGAGTATCATACAACCACTTAAAACACACAATCTGCATGCATGTGTCCTTGCATGCAGAATCTCAGTAGAAACTAGAGAGAAAAAAATAAAATTTAACAATTTTAACTCCAACTAAGATTCAGTATAAATACCTTTGTTAAACAGTTTATGCAAATAACCAGAGTCTTCTCATCTTCAGTGACTAATAAAGGAACAATAACCTACAACCACAGTCATTTTATAACATCAGTAGTTAGAATAACCTGATACCACAGGGGTAGAAAGCCTAAGCACTCTCTCTTCATTTAACAACGGGAAAACAAGTCATACGAGAGAGCGAGAGAGAGAGAGAAAGAGAGAGAGAACCACATACACTTAAACATCTGAATGGATCATATTGAGACAACACGGTGTTCAAGCAGTGCTCAGCTTCGCTTGAAACCTAAACATGGATCAAAAAAGTTGAGATGTGGAATACGGGCAACAATACTCTCAAAGGACAAGTCAAGGAAAGTAAATTACTTTGGGAACAATATCTTTTGTTACATGAAGCAGCTTCTCAATCACTATTTCAACAGAATCTTCCATAGCATCTTTCTGGACGCATGAAAAGCCAAAAAAAGGGATGAAATGAGCACATTTGCATGCTAGGGGGGAAAAAAGAAAATCTGGACAATGCTCAAAATTAATCATATACTGTAAATATGAGCAAACCTGGTTTTTAAGCATTTCAACTATCAATGACAAGGCAAGTTCTCGGATTGAGGAATCGGAATCATCTAAAACTTCAAGTACAGCTGTCAAAATCTGATTGAAGTACTGCATAAATACAATTAATATTACGACTGGATGTACATCAGATATAGCATTGCAATATTTGACATAGGATAAAGGACATATTCTTTCCTAACAGTATAGCATGGTTAAGAAACTTTCATAAGAAGGAATCAAATAAGGATTAAAGTTATAAAACGTGAGGCAAGCAGAAGGGTTCAATCTGGTCATTTCACGTTCGGGCCTTTTCAGGTTCTGATCATTCCAGGGTCAGCAGGCTTCCTACCATCTTCAATTTTATAATATAATTGGTAATTAAATTTTGCCTTTTGTAAAAAAAAATCATTCAACTACAAATTCAATCATTTTACTATTAACTTCGGGTCATTGCAGGTTTGAATCAAATCATTTTGGGTTCAGGTCATTTGCAGTTCAGATCGTGGCGGGTTCAAGTTTCTTCGGATTCAGGTCTTTGACTTCTTGATCAACTCGATTCTGATCAGGTTCCTTTTTTCTTCTTTTTTTTTTTAGCCGATTTTCGGGTTCAGGTTCATTTTGCCACCTTTATATAAAACTAATATTGGAAACAAATTTTCTCAGTATCAAAGAAAAGTGAAACAAGGGAGAGCCTTAGTGGACAGCCACATTCAAGACAGCTACGAGATATATAATTGAGTGTCAGCAAAGAAAATAGTTAAAGACGATCTAACAATGAGACCAGCAACCAGAACCAACCAGACTCAATAGAAAATGAAGCCAATTTCAGAAAATACTCTGTTTGAGTTGGCATACCTTGTTCCAAATGGAGAAATCATTAGCCAGAGAAATTTCAATTAATTGCTGGAGTGCACTACGCTTACTTGCAGTAGGGCTCTCATCATTCCCATTGCAGATCTAGAACCACAGAAGAAAGCATTTATCAAACGTGTAGTTCTTGAAACACAATAAGCGCTATGAGAAGTCAACAACTTATTTTCTCCAAGTAAACTCAACTGATAGAACAATTACTATCACCAGGAAAAAAAAACAGAATACTAAACTCACCAGGTGAAGAATTTGAGGAATGCTAGGCCCAGTGTCTGGCATAGAGCTAATCTTTACAGCTGCAGGTTTAAGATGATTAAGGTCCAAGTCAGATGAAGTCTCATTATTATGTCCAAGCCCTTCAATGGCCCCCAAAGATTCAGATCTACTTAGACCATTCATGTCCAAACGTGGAGTAGATAGACCTTCCAGGTTAACACTGCTTTCAAAGTTCTCAACCCGGCCAGTTCGAGATCCCAAGCTCTGACCTGAATTAACAATGTAAGACAATTGTTTGGTTTTCGAAGGAAGAGCATCCGCATTTGAACTGGTCTCAAGGTTCTGATATAAGTTCTCCTGAGTTTCATCAGATGTTGCCTGGCCAATACTGCTTGCGATCAGGGTTGAATCCTGAGTGGAACCCCACTTCCTACCACCTTCACTATCAAGGGAACCAGCAGAATACCTTCCAAGTAAAAGACTCTTCTTGGACACACCAATATATCCTTCTTCAGATGATGTTCCAACAACGTCAGATGGATCATAGGAAGACTTAGCACGCTGCCTTTCTTTCTTGTTCTGCAAATAGTTTATTAGGTCCACCTCAATACGAGGGGTGTACTGTTTAAGTGCCCGTCTCAATGAATTTTGTTCTTCAACTGATAAACTAAGAATAAAATTCAGAACTGCAGTCGGATCAAAGTGCGAGTAGACAGATATAATGCAAGTAATAGCTGCATCCTTAAGCTTAGTGTTTTTGTCATGGACCAATGGCGTCAATTTAGCAAGCCATAACTTCAGGATGCCAATATTACCAGAACCTTCAGAATTCATAGCATGCTTGTTGAAGGAACTAATAGCAAACTCAATAACAGCTAACTTTGCCTTTGGTGATCGCTGTTCATCTAATGAACGCAGCAAAGCAGGTAAGAGAGAATCTATGCTATAAGTTTTGCTAACAATTTCCAAAGTCGTTGAGCAAGGTTGCCTAACCAACTCCTTTGGATCAATTAACCGTGAAAAAACATGGGGTAAGATCCTTTCCATGTAACTCTCAAAGGGCTTTCGACATGATGGAATAATATCTGCAAGAGTTGAAAGGGCAGCCTGTGCAACTTTATGGTGGGGATCATCCAAGTGCTGGAAAAACAGTTTCATTACCTTCTCAAAATTCTGAACCACTTCCTGAACACCTTTTGGTCCCTGCTGCAGCAAAGACCGGAGATAAGTAAAAGCAGCAACCCTAGCACACCAATCAGAACTAGGACTGAGCCCCTCACTAAGGGCATCACTGAGAGAAGCGGGACCTTCAACATAATTTGACATCTCTCCAAGTGACAGCTGGCTATCATCAAAACTCTTTCTCCTTCCTGCAGACATCCGCCCAGCTACATGTTTTCTCAAAAGTGGCCTCTGGAAGTTTGGAATATAATTGTTCTGTGAATCCTTAGTGTTTACATCTCTATAAGGTGTGTCCAAATATTGTCTGTCAATATGTGGATTTATAAACCGCCTAGCCTCCCTAATGTCACTGTTCTCTTCAACAGAACCTCGCTCTTGCCTTTCAGATGCCCTTTTGGCAGAGTATAATGGGAAAGCTGGCAAAGTCTCAGTTGCCACACTACTTCTATATGATAACTTGCCTGAATCTTTGGAAGCTTGAATTTGAGTAATGATGTCAGACATAATCATACCACCATTGCGGTTACTACCTTTACCAACACTAGAGGTAGTTGATTCTACTCCTAAAGAGCTTGTGAGACTATTAGAAGCTGGAACAGTAGCAGGGAATGGTGGATCACGAGATGATGGAGGGTCAACTCCTGCACTAGTGGGCAATAAAAGAGAAATTTAGCCGCTCACAAATTGAATCGACTTTCAGATCATTTCAGGTAATTATCAGTGCCTAATCAAATGACCTCATGTACAAAAATTTCAAGTTTAAATTAAGAAAAACATAGAAAATCCATTCAATACCTAGATCCAAACTTGATGACCTCTGTTTTTCGGATATGTCCAGACCTCTAAGCATACTTTCAATGGCGCTGACTTTCTGTTTGCTTGCATGCAACACGCTCTCCAGAGTACGTTCAGCACCTTTACCAAGGGGCTTCGACTGGGATAGAATCAAACCAGAAGAGAGAGAAGTCCCTGACGATAAACTTGAAGTTCTGTCCATTGCAACTATAGCAGACGTTCCATATCCAGGAACATTTGAAGGAGCAGAAGTTTGAGAGGTAAATGACATCTGTATATTTCTGTCACGGAGAGAAGGAGAAGCATGCCGCCTATGCATCCCTCCATCTTCTTCGTTAATTATCTGTGCAAAAAGCAAGGCTTGAAACCACAATCTAGAAAAAGGAATCATTCCAAAATATCCATTGAATAGAAAAGCTATACATACCCTTTGAATGACAGGATCAAAGGATGAGAACAAGCGACGAGAACGATCTGGCCAAGTTTTGGTGAACATTCTGTAGCACATTCTAGCAGTTGATCGTACCTGTTAAGTTCCAAATGCCCTAGTCATCTTATCATTGATTTTAGCATGGACTCAAACAGATAATAAGCAAGAGGAAAATAACACTAAGTTTTAGGAATTAGTGTTGCCATAGAAGGTCATCTTTTCAGATGACCCTCTTTGTGTAGAAAATATAAGTTCATTCAAAAATGTTAAGTGAAGCATCAGCGATAAATCAATGATGTTTACGTGGGAGAAGCCCATGAAAATGATCAACTAAGTCCTTTACATTAAGGGCTCAATGCATAACAATACACACCAAACATCAAGACAAAAATAATTCACAACATAGATACCTCACTCATTGCATCCGCAACGCAACACCTAATAAGGTCCTCATATAAATCAGCCAATCGCTGTATTTCTGGTGCATCTGGCCAATGCTCAAGTATCAACAATGCGTACTCAACACACCTGCAGAAAGGAGATAAAAAAGTGAGTAGAGAAATAGAAAATAGAAGACTTCATCACAACATAGCAGAAAAAACAGGAATACCTAGCACGGAGTACAGAACTACGGTCATTCTTTGCACAATCAGCTATGCGGGGAAGCACACGGGCAACTTTGCAGTTACGCAACATCTGCAAATTAGAAAGTTAACATCAAAAACAGAAAAATCGAAAGAAAAAGGAAAATAGGGAAGGGGAGACAAAAATAAGAAAAAAATTACCGTTTTTATGCAGTTATCTGCGGACTCTGCAATTACAAGCACAGTAATCACAACCAACTTGAAAAGGACCTGATTATCATACCATGAAATTAACAAATGCTTATGAGAATATAAATGTTGTTACACTACACAAGAAAATTCAACTTACTGGGATGAACATCTCGGCACATGCCTCAAAATCTCCCAAGAGCTCCTTTGATAAGAAGGATAATAAATGGCAAGCCTGAAAATAAGGAAACAAACTCAGAAACAGCTACACTTACACGGCCAGAAAAGCACTTAGGGAATAAGAAAGTAATCAAGTGTAAATCAACCACCACTATTATACAGGCTCTCTCAAAATTCTGTATGGCCACTGTACAAAATTCCATCCACAAGTGTTAGAGACAAGAAGTTAACACATTATGCACAAACTTGGAATCTCACTAGCTTGGCTAGGTCAGTAAGAAAAATATGAAAAGACCACAGAGCAAGAAGACACAAGCTTCATAGTCTTTACCAACAAAAATTTACAGAACTGTGATCACAAAGTTAGAAGCATGTAAGAATTCTAGCAACTAACAGGAAGCAACAAAAATTGCAGCCTTTATAGTCTTGACCAAAAACACTAAAACCCTGTAAGATACTCAAGTGAAGGTCTAAGCTTATATCATCCCCTCCCAGGTGAATTAGCCGAAAACACCCTTCTTGGAAGTTTCAAGAGAATCAACATGGGAAGGACAGGTATGATGATGGGTCCATGAAATTTTCCCTAACTTGAAACGCCAGCATTCTTTACTATATAGATATGTTCTAATCAAATAATAACACTGGAAAACTCAAGAAAACAATGAACAAAAAATCCAGCAATTGAGTAATTCTGAAAATTCACTAAACCATTCAAAACAAAGCTCAGCAGTAAACTTAATATAAAAGGAAAGTACTTAGAAAATAATATTCAAAAAGTATTTACAGGAGAAAGAAAACCTTACTCTAGGTGCTTGAATAAGCACTAATAGTTCAGAACCGCATAGATAAATTATAAACGAAAGGAACAAATCTCCTATAATATAAAAAGAAAGCACCACGAAACTCAATAAATGGTACACACCTGCTTCACTATGCTTGACCTTCTATCCGATAATTGTGTACTTAGCGGGCCAACAAGCTGCTTCAAGAGTCCCCGGAAACATGGATAATCAGTAGCACCTGAGTATTTGTTCCCATTAGTCTTAATTGTTAAACCTCCCATTTCTAAAGGCATATGCTATAGAGGAGAATATGCCATATAAAAATGGATTTTTGACAGATAACTGTGTAAATAACAGGACAACTTTGCAGATGTCAAAACCAAGGGGAAAAAGATTAAAGGAAAGGGATAACCACAGGAATTTATATGCGTGGGTTTTGACAACCCCTTTATATACCTAGGAATTTGTATACCTGGCTCAGTTAGCATTGGCCACTTCTTTAAGAATAAGAATTTTCATACCTGTTCAGCTAACAATAGTGACTCTATAATTCTATAACAGCAGACAAATATGCAGTGCAAAACATTTGTGGGAGGGTGGATAAGAGAGAGAACAAAAACCTCCAGAAACAAGGCCTTCAACTCTCTGCATGGCAGCAATGCGTATGGACCAATCTTTTTCTGGAACAAGGGTAGAAGCAATTTTCTCAAATTCCCTTATTAGTTCCTTATCTGAGTAAACTTTAATTGGATCTATGGGTTTTTCTGTGATATCACTTTCACCTGCAAAAAACAAGATCATTTCATTAAAATTGAAGTCTTTGAACCATGATTTAAAAGCAGGCACCATATTTGAGAAATATATAATTTAGAAAACATCAACTTCTTTTAACCATCATTGTCAAAAGAAAGGTAGACAACATTGAAAGTACATTGGTTTATGCAAAGATCAGCATATCATGAGAACCATCCTAAATCCCTAATTCAAAAATAACATAAATTATTTGATATACACAGATCCAAACCTCCAAAAAGAGATGTCTCCCTTGAAGAACTCTTGGCTCTTGGACTGCTTTTCTTGGGGTTAAGGATTGCAGGCTTTATCTCTCCAGCGCCAAAACCACTCAACATTCCATCCGAAGATCGAACTTGTGGCTCAATTTTCTCTAATCTAGCATTAATATCTCTCACCTGCAGTTGTACATTATGTTGTAAAAATAACAGAGAGTAACAACATCAATACCTTTCTTCTAGAAGGAAATGTGATCAACTTTAAATGATAACTAATATTATTTATATTTACTTCATGTTAAATTAAGGTAGCCTTATTAGGAACAAGAAGCAGGGTGGGAGGAAGTAAACTGTCAATGCGAAATGAGTAAAAAGATAAAGAAGAATATAATTCATCTGCAGCTGCATAAATATTCAAAACAAAGCCAGAGGACGGAATATAGAATTCTAAAATTAAATATTCACCATAGATGCAGGAAGCTGATGGCGATGAAGCTCATCACGGAATTGAGTTCCAGCCTGCGTATACATTTCCTAGAAAAGAAATGATTTGATAAGATTTCTGCCGCCAGATAGGACAAACCTTAACATATGAACCATGCAATCTCTAAAAGCACATATGTCAAGAAGAAGAATGGCACATGTGGACCTTCAAATTAGCAAAGAACTACTGCTTCAGTTGCTGCAACACTCATTAATGCATCCAAAGCAGAAATACCCAAGAAGAAAAAGAAAAGTAACCCAATGAAAATTAACATATTGAATGGTTTTTTGACAAGATATCAAAACTATTAAGGACCAACATACATCAAAAGAAGCATGACAGTTTAATAAAAAATAATTCACATTAATACTAATCCAAGGAGAGGACAACACATGTCCAAACATCCCATATTGAAGGTTGCTGAATTTTTTGAACAGGACAGTTAAGGAAAAACTTTACAAAGAAAAGGAGGTCCAAAACTTGAGTCAGAAGAAATCTAATTTGAGATGATTTTTCTTTGTTTAATGTTAAATGTATCTACCACAAAGCTGGGAATATAGCAAGCAATCATTTTCCTACTGAAATGACATGAGAAGCTATAGACATCAGATGACATAAACATGTTTTAGACATATAACTCTGGGGCCACAGCAAGGTGTCCAAAAATTTATTTCTAGTTTTCTTCTTCCAAGAAAATGAAAAGTCTTGAGCAACTTAAGATTTTTATGTTTTCACGGGTAATTAACAGGTTCAGATCTCAGATGTTAGTGCCTATTCATTTTCTCATCGTATTTTCTCTGTCCTCTAAAGGCAGGTAAAAGGCTTATTGCTGGGTGATCAACATGTTTTTCTAGAACGGAGAAGCACAAGCAATGCCTCAGTAGTCAGCTCACCTATCAGGCTATATATCACCTGTCTATTCAAGTGACAGTGGAAGTTGAAAACATGGGTTAAATTTTTGAGTATGACCAAAACAAGAAGAAAAAGACAACAGATCATATTTGATTTTAAGTAAAGATTATCAAGTTCTTTCCACACATAAGTTCAAAAAGTTGTTAAGCTCTTCTAAAAATAATGCATCAAAGGAAGCTCCGCTTACCTCAATGCATAATATAGCTGCTTCACGAACACCAGGATTTGAGTCATTCAGCATCTGCAAAATCTGAGAAATAAAGAAATTATAAATGTCAAATTATCCGTGTCACATTTAATGATGAGACAATAAAAATCCATTTTGGAAATGTTAAGAAGCATACAGGGGGAAGAATAGCCCGTTGAAGTGGAAGTTCAGTAGATGCAAAAAGACTGATTGCCGATGTGACTGTACGCGCAAATTCTTCCCGAACTCTCCAACTTCTATGAGTCCAGGCATATGAGCCAGCTCTTTCAACAATAATCGTTGGAGAAGAAACCTGAAACACCAAATAATTAGTACATTTTACAAATCAAACTAACTTTCACACTTAGCCTAAAAGTTTAAAGCATTTCAAAAACTCAGCAAGGCACTCATACTCAAATTTACTCCAAAAATAATTGCAATAATAAAACATAGTTCACATTTCTTGAAAAAGAAAAAAATAAAACTGAATAAAGAAAACCTAAACCACCAGGCAGTAAACAATTAAAAATGCAAAGGATAAATTCATTAGATTGTGAGCTCCCTCATCCCATAAAGGTTGTCTTCTTTGGAAATGCACATGGATTAAGGAACCATCCGTTACTTTCTGCTACTTGCTTTTTGCAGCCAAAAGCACAAAAAAGAGTGCTATGATACAAAAGCAAACAACATTTTGAAGACTTAAAATATTAAAAATGGAACTTTCTGGAGAACCAAAAACCAGATGATTTTACTTTTACAAAGAATATTTAAATTTAACTTGGGAGTTGGATTTTAGTCATTTGTTTATATTTAATCTATTATGAGTTTGTCTCTACTATTTGTTCTTGCTTTGTAGCCATGTTCTAGGAAGCCAAAAGCAAATAACAAAAACAACAACTGAATGGAATCCAAGAAAAGTCAATAAATGCTTTTTGACAGCTAATACATTCTACATTCCTTAACCATTATGCACAATGCAGACAATTATGACTTGCTTTGGAGTGAGAAAGAGAACAGAAAATCTCAAATGCTAATGCTTCAGTTTTTGACTGTGACTTTGTGAACCACACCAAAAATAAAAACATAGACTTTTGGGAGTAGGAGAATATCATGTATCTGCTTTCCTAGAATACATGCGGTGCATAGAAGGTGCAAGGTGATTGCATGAGGAAGGATAGTTCATGAACTGGCTTTCTTATTTAATGTGGACCAAAGATTAAAATGGCATGACTGCTTACATAAGAAACACGAATGTCATCCACAGGTGATTAAGAATGGTACTATTCAATTGCAAAAGCATACATTAGTGACTATTCTTGACTACCACTTTTCTTGAATTCTCTACAAAACTCATATAACTTTAAAAAGAAATAAAATGAGGAATGAATTAAGACTCCATTTTCCCAAGAAATTGCTATGGCAATAAATGATCTTGAATTATTTGAAGTAAAACAATTAGGAAACCCTTGACTCATCCAAAAGCTAAGAAACACTGTATGTTTCATATCTCCTAAATAGAACAATTTGAGATAATAAACTTCCATAAAATACACTAACTAAAGTCTTCCATAGTGAGGAAACTTGGTCAAATCTATCAAAATATTGCTCTAAAAACACTTAAAAACTAAATTACAACCACGCTAAAAATTATTTTTGAAAAAACACAAAATCATTAAGAGAATGGTAACAAAAACGGTGATACTTAAAGGTAGCCTCCAAGAACAGCCACAAATTATAGTTCTCGGCACATTATTAAACCATAAGAGCAGTCAGATTATACAACTACAAGGAACTGTCAATGTCTTCGTTTCCACTGAATCAATGTAAAACCCTAAATTCAACAGCACATCACATAAATTCCATTCAAATTGAACAAAAATCAGTGCTGACACACATTATAAAGATAGGGGGCTTTCAGCAGTTTTAAGTAACCAAAGGAATGATATGAGCGGCAGCCATTCAATAACATAAACAAAAATAAACAACATCTTTACCTCCATGAGAGTGAGCAGTAGTCGTCTGGCGGCGTCTCTAACGGGCTGTTTGGCGTCACCTAACCGTTCAACAACCGCGGGAACGAGCGCGTTGAAATGCAACTTCAAGTGATCACCGGAGAGGACGGCGGCGGAAGCAAGAGCCTGGAGAGCGCCCTGGGAGACTCTGAAGTTGTTGTCCTTGAGGAGATCCATGCAGCAATCGACAAGCGAAGTGACCTCCGAAGAAGTGAGGCTCTTTCTAGAACCTTCGAGGAGTTGATAGAGCCGCTCCACCGCCGCCATTCGCTCCTTGGTGTCTTTGGCACGTGCCAGCTCCAGTGCCTCCTCCATCTGGATCCGGATCCGGTGAGACCGTGCTCAGATCTGAACAACTACTCAACAAGTTCCAATAATTCGAAAAAGAAAAAGAAAAAGA